TTTCACTTTCAAAAGTGTCACCATTTGAATGAGAAATCATATTGCCAATTAATTTTAAATTGCTTATGAGATGTTTTCAAGACTATATTTCACTGGTCTCTAACTGTGGAATTTGTCTTAAACTTATTGAGAAGTAAATTGTGTTTAGGACTAACACCGAATCTCAACACGATCTCTCAGTGTCCACCAGAGACATACAGACTAACTGTGGGCACCAGGAAATCTTTTTAGCCTAGGAATTTTCACCCTGGACAATGCAAAAATCAAGAAGAAAAGAAAAAAAAACTTGTTTTTATTGACTTCAAGTAATTTTGTAAGCCTTTCTTGGAAGCATAGCATCATATATACATCAGCAACACTTAAGAAGCTTCCTATCTGGTGTAGAGTGCCCTCTAAAACATGTCAGTTTTAAGGCACAGAAAAAAATCACTCTTCATGTTAAGGTGTAATATACTACCTGTAACGACTATTCATTATTTTATATAAATGCTCAAACAGTTTAACTTACCAGTAGGGATGCTAAGTATATTGTTTATGTTGTATCATTATTATCTCCACTAAGCAATCAGTGGGCAGAGATTTGAGTCACTTGGAAAAGAAAACGGATCAGATATCATGTCTGAGTCTGATTTAAATTGATGAAGCTTCAAAGATTCTTGGTCCTCACATTTAGACTTAGTGATATGTGAAATATTTGGTGTAACCTACCTGTGCCGAGAGATCTGCTGAGACCCATTCCCAAGGTTGCTGCACGAAGCCTGCTGAAGAGTTTTACAAGTGTCAGAAGTCTCTGAAGACCTTCACACTGAATATGTTTGTTTCTAGGTTCCAGCCTCCAAACATGACAACAGTATTTCTCAGATAAAAATCTGATTCCCTGGGGAAAATAGGACAAATTGAATGCTCATTAGCTAAGATTCCACTCAAAATTTTACCCAAAGAGTAGAAGTGTGGAGATTGCCTAGGGACTTACTTAAATGATTATATTTAATAACAAATAAATGCAATTATTCCCGCTGATTTTTTTGTTCATTTAATTTGTACAGTAACTGGGAAGTGCTGCTGTTTGCCCTAGGATGAAGATAATCCAACAGTTAGAATGTATAGAATTCTGGACCCAGTGGTCAATTTTAATGTGAATATAGGGAATAGAACTGAGTGTAAACACTCATTATATATCAAAAGCACATCCTGGCATATATACCATAAAAATCAGAAGACATAGAACATAGATTCAACACATGAATTGCTATAAAGAAAATAAATATCAGCTTTATAATTAAAATTCTTAAGGCATTCATTATATACCTGGTCTTATTTCTAGTATTTAA